ACTACTAACTACTAACTACTAACTACTAACTACTAACTACTAACTACTAACTACTAACTACTACTACTACTACTACTACCACTATACTACCACTACCACGGCGACGGCGACGGCGACGGCCACGGCGACGGCGACGACGACGACGACGACTATGACGACGACTACGATGACGACGATGACGACGAGTACTACTACCACCACCACCAGCACTATTACTACTTCTACTACTACTACTACCACCACCACCACCACTACCACGACCACGACCACGACCACGACCACGACCACGACCACGACCACGACCACTACCACTACCACTACCACTACCACAACAACAAGGACGACAACAACGAGGACTACGACCTCGACTGCTACTGCTACTACTTCTACTTCTACCTGGATACTCCGACTCTCCCTTGGCTGACCTTTGTTCCTATCAACCTTCTCATCAGATTCTTGAGGGAGAAAGAACGCCATGAATTGGACCTCAGACCTTGTTCAACGGGGGGGCGGTTTATTAACCTGGGTTGTTTCAATGGTTTTGTTATTTGTTCTGTGGAAATATTACTTGACATGATGTCTTGCTTGTCTCCGCTCTTGTCTTCTCACTTGTCTCCGCTGTATGACGCCACACGCTCGTCTCCTACCCCATGATTGGCAAAGCACATGGTTGGGACTGCAGGCAAAGGTTTGTTTGAAGAAGCGCGCCCAAAAAAATCACAGTTTGCCTGATTTGCATTCACTTGTTTGGGGCTATAATCTGATACTGGATTGCGCATGCGCTTGCTTGGACCGCCCAGCTTGTATTTGTAGATTTCTACATCTGAACTAGGGTCTGCTCTCAAAAACACCCGTCAGCAACAGCTGCAAGAACACTTATCTTCTTCCCATGAGTGTCATCAAATCATCGTGCTCGTCTCGTCTCGTCTCGTCTCCTCGTCGTCGTCGTCGTCCTCATCATCATCATCATCATCATCGTCCTCCTCCTCCTCATCATCATCATGATGTAGTCATCCTCATGGGGTATTATCATCATCAACTAAAGGTGCGTAGATACAAGTGTATTTCAAATGTTTTTACATTTGTCAAAAAACACCTCACAGCTGCATGATCGCGTCATCACCATCATGAAGGTATATAGCATATAGAAATAGATGCAGGGATACAGGTGTCAATAACTCTTGGCATTCCGTAGAAGTTCTGTTAAGGTATCGGGGTGGCCCGTCAAGGGCTATCGAAGCAAGACAGAAAAATGGTGATGTATAATGTATTGTTCAAAAATAGCTTGGGACAGGACAGAACACTCATTGGCAGGATGTGCAGACACCCTGTTCTTGGGTGCGTAAGTATTGAACTACACCCATGCCCAGAGTGATGTTTTTTGCCAACATGGAAAAGCGTCAAACAAAATGGACTATTTGGGTGCAACACGCATAGAAGGAAAACCGCTGGTAACCACACAGCCTTTGCTCTGCAATTTGCCCCATCTTTGTGGCCGTCTGTCATCTGCAGTCAGCACCACAGTAGGACTTATGTTGTTCAACATGAAGTTTCCTTCGGTTTGCATTCAGCCTCTCGGCCCACCTACAACATTCTTGCAAAATAGCCAGCTCTGGGACCCGCAAGCCACTCCTTGCATATTCACACTTTGGCATCCCAATCCTCCACGTTCAACGACAGTTTCACGCTTTTTAGCATCCTGCACTTCCGCTTTTGACGGCAGTCTCACACTTTGGCATACGAGTGGACCAGACTATGCATCTCCCACACTTTTGATGGCCAAACCTCCCACACTTCGACAACACTCACAAACTTCGGACATCCGACACAAACGATCTGAGTCAAGTACACAAGTACACAAGCGTTTCACTGTCGTTTTCGCGCCGCAACGGCACCATCTCCGCAAGTCCGACGACGACCGTTTCTGGTCGTCCGATGGTGGAATGCCGTGGCTCGCAGGATCGAAGTTCCACGAACTCTTTCGCTGCGAACGGTCCATGGTCTTGAGGAATTTACGTCACTCAGCGTCCAAGCCATCAGAGTTGACGTCTCCAGAATGGGCCCCACGGCTCGTGCCCATCCGAGCCTTTGAGTGTGTGGTGGACCGATGAAGGCCGTGCCCATCATCCTCATTGAAGGCCGTGAAGGCCGACGCCGCCGAAAGCAAGCAGTCAGTGTGAAGTGGGAGTCCTTTGCCTCTTCGTTGATCGTCCTTTGCCGCGAGAACAACCAGAAGTCCCCGCAATCCTGCCTGCCGATCTGAGACTGAAGAGTGACTGAACAGGAGGGAAAAGTGGGCCCAACCCTTTGTTTTCATGTGACCAGCTGGTCTTCGACCATGACTTTGCTGAAAGAATCCAGTTTTCATAGTTTTGATTTTTGACGGAGTTCTGCTTGGGGGTACCCTTCAAAAACACATTGAGTACTTTCCACTTTCTTGTCATTCCAATTGCACATGTGTGAGACGTGTAAATTTGTGAATTCCATTTGCAGCCTTTTTTTGAGTTCAGAAAACGGGCTCGTGGCAAGCTTTGCCCTGCGATGACGATGCGAAGCTGCGTGATCAGAATCTTAGCTTTGAATGTCTTGCCAATCTAGAGATGTTTTCACAGTAAGAAGTCCTCTTCTCAGCCTCGGCAGTATATGAATTAGTAGACGGCTCAGCTGCGAAGGGACGTGACGCTTGAAAGACATGCATAATTTTACAACTGCCAAACAACACTGCAGGATGATCCAGTGAACCCCAATGGGAAGACAGAGAAGAGGTATCCAAGTTGAGGTTTATCTCTGCTGTGTTGGTCAGCACCTCCAAGACATGTTTCACTTTTCTGAGTTGGTTGCTTGTCCGACATTCTGAACACTAACCATAGAGAGTCTCCTGCCTGTGCTTGATGCTGAGGCTTGGTGGTGCCCTTGGTATGTGGGACATGCCTTGACAGCGGCATCCCGCCCTCTGAGCGGAAGAACCTGGCCATGCCCTTAGTTTCCAGATTTTCTCAGCTGGAGGCTAGCTTCCCGATGATTTCAAGCACTGGAACAACTCCAAATTCCAAGCACAACCTCCCAGCATGCTTCCGAAGGCCAAAGGCGACAGCTGCACTGCTGAGTACAGTAGTTCTATTGAGCGAATTAAACGTTTTCCATTCCCACCGGAACATGCTTGCCACATGCATGGAAAAGCAAGCTCAACTCTTTTAGTGCGGGCTTTCCTGCAAAGATATGTTCTTTCAGGAGAATGCAAATGGTGACTCCTATCCTCTTGGCATCTTCGTTCCGGATTGGGCTGCATCATGGGCAGCCAATGTTCTGGTGGCAACAATCGTTGAGGAGTCTTTCTGTTGTAAACGGTGGGGTAAAGGCTTGAATAAACATTTGATCTCGGATGTCCATGTCTACAGGATTTCCTTGTCGCACTTGGCAACACAACCCGATTTTTTTCTTCTCTCATAGTTCGATTAGTTTGATGAGCACGCTCTCAAAGAGCCTTCTGTTGAAAAAACCAACGTCCAAGCCCTGCCTCGCGGTGGTGACCAGGGTCCCAAGCGCAAAAACGCGGAGCCTCCCAGATCTGCAGCCCCATTGGTTGGTCCAACAGAGCGGCCTCTCCGGTTCCACCGCTTGACACGTTGGCCTCTCAAAACGGGTCTCTCTGTCTTTTTGCCTCACTGTGGGCCTTAGAGCTTAGAGGGATGAAGGCGATGGCGGTGAGTGGGCCAAGTTGGTGGAGGGTGCCAAGAAACTGAACGCCGGAACCAGGAGATTTTTGGCTACAACGTGAGCCTTGTGAAGGGCACCGGCACCGTGAGTGGCTTCTATGCCGTCAGCGGCTGTGTGGATCCGACCGCGGTGGGCGATCCTGGCTGTGGCTCAGGAAATGTGCTTTGGCGTATTAGGTACAGCTGGTGGGGGTGGGGTTAAATGTTGATCCTCTCCAAGAGACTAAGACCAGATACTAGACCTGGTTTAGGCAGCAAACTGAGGTTGGTTCAAGCCTTGCAGTCAGTTGGCTTCTTACCTTTTTGACTACAAATGCAGAGTGACCGACCATTTGTAGCTGTGCAGTGGGCAATTGTTTCGCACTTCGCTCGTTTCTCGACCTCTCTTTCAAAACGCTCTTTTGCGTTGAGGCCCTCAGAGATAGTCTGACCCCAGAAGCGTCAGGCTACCTCTCCTGGCTTGATTTCTGTGTAGTTCATGCTTTGAGGTCACCAAACATCACATTGTGATGGAGGCTTGGACAGCTGGCTACCCTTTGGTGTGGGAGACGCTTCAGAACGAATACGCAGGTGTTGCAGCGAAGAACTTGGGAAACATGGGATATGAGGGTCTCACCTCGACCTTCATTCCGAAGCCCGTGCAACAGGAAGCATACCGGACGCAGGGAATGGCCTTGCAATACTTCAAGTACTGGAATGCCTCTTGGTACCAGCCTTCCAAATACTTTGAGTCCATCTCAGTGATTCCCTCTGGGCTGACCAAACTCTGCAGCGACTCGACGTCTGTGATGACTGATGATGCAACCATGCGGAGGCACATCGTCTTCACAGGAGATGTTGATGGCTTGGTCTATGACAGCACTTCTGATTCATATTCAGCACGCTGTGATGATGGTCATTGGTGGCTTTCACCTTCTTGCCGATCGAACTCTACACTTTGCGTTCCCTTCATCACTGGGGGTGTTGGTTGGGGCATTGAAGAGCTGATGCAGAAATCGACCAAATGGAACATGCCCATGGCCCTTGGTGTGGCAGCATCCTGGAGCGCTTACACGGAGTTTCCCTTTCTGCATCCGAAATCTCACTTCTATTGGTGGATCCCAGATCCCACCTTTCTGGAACTGGAGCCGCTTCAGGTGATCTATCCACCAACCGACCGAAGAGCTTACAGCAGTGGTGACATGTCGACTGCAGCAAGTGGCATTTCTGTTGACAAGCACGTCAGCCGAGACTTGAGCGTTCTGGCACCCAATGTTGAGAATTTTGTGAGCAACATTTTGGTGACCATGGCGCAAATGAATGCGATTCTCCTCGACCAAAAAAATACATCTGATAGCTGGAGAGAGACAACATGCCGTTGGCTACGTTCCAATCAGAAGGTCTGGCAGTCCTGGATTCCTGATGAGAGTCAATGCTTCCCGGGCTTCGGACTTTATGACACAGGTCTCGATGACTTCACAGATCATCGGGTGAATGCCTCTAACAAGATCGTGTGTCAGGCCTGCGCCGTCCAGGTTTGGAGGATGACAACTTCAACAGCTGTATACACAGGATTTCTCGTGTAGTAACAATTTGACATGAGATTGGGAGTAGAACTTACTCCGTTCATGATTATTTGCCAATTGCTGAGTAGGTTAGATCAGATCTACGTTCGAAGTGGGATGCAGTTCTGAGAAATCTATCGAAGCATTGACATGATAGGGCATGTTCTTCATGCGAATGTGATGACACTGTAATGATTCGCCAGACCCTCTCATTTCATGTATGAAGACCAGATTTTCCTTCCCACTATGTCAAGTTCGTAGCATTCCTTGAAGTCCTCTGCAGGCTTGCCCCTCGGGTACCTTCTCACAGCCCTTGGAAGATTCCATTGGCGAGACCTACATCTGTGTACCATGTGCCAAAGGAAGAAGCCAACCTCTTGGCGCGGCCACATCGTGCAGTCTTTGCAAATCAGGTTGGGAAAGCTGGGTCGCTCCGGTCGCCTCCGTGGGGGGCAACGCCCGAAGTGACCGTCTGCGCAGTAGGAGTTGGCCATGTCAATTTGCCAAGCGTTGGCAATGTTGTAGTGATCAGTTCAACACAACAGGACATTTCAGGACATTTTTGCATAGTGAAGGGAGCTTTCCCAAGCAATGGGGTTGAACCCCACAATGCCAAGCATATTCAGACAATCGGAGGCACCTGTCCATACCTTCATGCAGGCGAGTATCAGGATGAGATTGGGAGCAAAACTTGTAAGCGCTGTGAGATTGGCCTCTACCAGGAGCTCCAAAACGGCCACAGCTTCTCATGACTGTGTATCATCATGTCTTCTACCAATCAATCAACCAATCAATCGCTGCAAAGCCGGCAAGACTCAGTCTTGCCGGCTTTGCAGCGATTGATTGGTTGATTGATTGGTAGATTGGCTGGTTGATTGGTTGATATATTTATTGATTGATTGATTTGTATGTGCATCCCACACCACGTTTGTTGACATGTAGAGCCCATACATAACTCCATTTGTACAGCATTGACTAAGGACGCTTGGTTGTTTTGGCTTAAGGGAGAAAGACGCTCCGTAGCGTCGATACAGTGTTTTGATGGTAGCGCGAAGGCGTGAGGCTTCGAGAAGAGAGGCATAGTAAGGCGGAATCCTCCTCAGAGGTTCAGGAATTCGAAGAGGAAGCCCCGCAGCGGCTGCTTCAGCTGCGCTGGAGGCAGAAAAGAAGGAGAAGAAAGAGGAACCTTGCCAGAAACACAGAAAGGGAAGAGAAAACTTGGCCAGAAGAAGAAGAAGAAGAAGAAGAAGAAGAAGAAGAAGAAGGAGCCTGAGCCTGATCCAGATGCGGCCAGTACGGCCGGAGGCGACAAGTCCGAACCGATCGACGAGCTCCCATCGTTCTTTTTGGGGGTTCCTACGGGCGGCACTCCTGAACCTAAGGGTTCTGGGAAACGACTGCGGCAGGCGACTGGTCCTGGACACAGTCCTGTTCCAGAGAGCGAGCCCTTAGCTAAAGGAAAGGAGGGGAAACACAAGCTCCCTTTTTTCAGAAGATCACAGACAGTGATGATGTTTCCAAATGGTCCCCACCTGAACAGGAAGGCCAGGTGCCTGCAAAAGTGGTTGCTTGGTGCGCTGAGGATCAGGTCCGATAGCTCCGAAATCTGGCCCGGATCCACGGTATAGCAAGGGCTCACGCTTTGGTTACTTTAGCTTATCTGGGCAGTTCGTCTCCATGTGACAAAGCCATCAAACAGCTGTTGACGCGACCGGGCGCGCAGGACTTGGTGAGCTTTGGACGTGTCACCTTTAAAATCAGTTTCCTCAAGGCCCCCGAGGTGGAACGCAAGCTTGCTACTTTGAGAGTTCAGACACTGCAGAGGCTTCTTCGGGATGAAGAGTGGCGTGGCAGGTTCGAAGTGTTGTTTCTTATCCCAAATTTCCGGGGAAGACAGAAATCTCCAATTGATTTCCTGGGTCCGGCATTTGGCTGATACCGGTCCCGAGTGTTCCAGATGGGTTTAAGCAAGCAGATGCAAGCAGTGTCCCCTGAAGTTCCGGGTTCGGGGTGGTTGGATTTTTGTGGGCACGCCGACTGACGATGATCGGCCCAAGATGCGGCAGATAGATAATGTAAGCAGGAGATGGACCGCGCAGGACGTGGTTCAATGCCTTCTGGCTGTATCGACACCTTGGTTTCAGACGGAGTTGCGTCGAAAACAATGGCAAACCGCAAGCTTTCCGCAAGCAGTCTGCGATTGTAGGTGACGTGCTGACATTGGTATAGTGGTTATGACAGTACACTGGTGATGTCAGCCATGACCCGAGGTCGTCGATACTCTGTACTCAGGAGTGATGTTTCATTTCCTTGTGCTGTGTGCTGATGCTGCGTTTATTGTTCACAACGCAAGAGCCTGGTGGTTGGACATGCCTCGTAAGGTTTTGTTGCTGCCTTGGGTTGAGCCGGAACAAACGCAGGCCGACAACAAGCCACAAGATTGGAGAAAAAAACTTGCAGGTGATAGCCGGCTATCTGTTTTTTTGCATCTCACCTGGTCGAATTCATTTTTCTTTGTCACGCTTGTTTTGCCCGGATGAGCGCTTTCTTTGCAACTATGGAGATTTCGCGTTTGTTCTTGGGCCACCTAGATGGAGGCCTGGGTTGTGCCTGGGCTCTTTGTGTGCACAGCCATGGCTATGAAGACTAGTTGAGGTTTCTCACGGCCTGCCCTCCAGGGATAGGGTGAGCTCACGGGAAACCCACCACAGGAATGGTGGCCCTTTTCGGAACTCATGTTCTGAAACACAGTGGCAATGTGCAATGAACAATCGCCCTCTTGACAGGCAAATCAGAGTATATATATATATACGCTTTAGTAAAGAGAGGTTCGATTGGACTAGGCCTGGGATCGCTTTGCCAGGATATAGGTTTGCAACTTGATATTGTGATGGGGGAAGATTTTTGCTAAGGGCACAGTTCAACGTGTCGGCTTGTGTAAAGCCCGCCACGTCCAAATTCGCGACCTATGGTTGCAAGAGCGTGTAGCAGACGACGCTTGAAGGTGCAGCGTGTGCCTGACAAGATGTCTTGACAAAATCTTGGTGGCAGGAGCAAAGGACAGTTGGATATCCTCAAGTGAGGCCAGGGCAGCCGGAAAATATTTCACATCATTTGTGTATAGACTTGCGCAGAGGTTAAGCTCCTTGCAAGAGGGGGAGGGTTGAAATGTAGAGCCCATGCACACTTCCGTTTGTACAGCATTGACTAAGGACGCTAGTTTGTGTTGGCTCAAGTGAGAGAAGGCGCTCCGTAGCGTCGATGCAGTGTTTTGAGCATTGGCTTGTGGCTGCCTTCTGACTTGGCACAACCAGAGACTACACTTCTCAGCAACTGTATCACAACACGTCAGTATAGTATAGCCCTAGTGAGCCACAGAGTGCCCTCAACAGGACGAACTGGGAGCTGAAATGTGCAAGAGCTGTCCAGCTTCCACCACGACCCTGGGTTTAGGAATCTTGGCCGACCAGGGCGACGAGGGTCTGCTTGGGGCGCGCCAACTCGGGGTGTGTTGGAAACCAGTGAGACGTAGGCAGCGCAGAAATTTTTTTGTTTTTTTCCGAAAAAAATTCGTTGGGCTTGGTTAAGTGCACGGCTCTTTGGGACTGCAGTTGCAAACTGGTCAGGATACCGAACTTTCCATTCAGGACCAGACTCTTGTGGAACCCACGGTATTTAGGGCCGTTTCTCAGTTCCCTGCACTGAAAGCGGAAGGGGAGGATCTATGGATCCAGGGAGACACATCCAGCCCAAAAGTCGCGCCGAAAAAAACGGACCGGGTCGCTGGTGCAGAAGCGGATCTCAAGGATCGGTCAGCCAAAGAGATTGCGGTTGCAAAAAAGACACCATCAACATCGATGTGTCAGGCGCCGATGATGTTCAATCATATTTTTCCCAAGATGACACCATGCCGTATTCAAATCATACGTTTGTCAGTTGTGGATTTCTCAATATTTTGTTAAGTTTGACTCCTTTTCTCACGATACCGTAACTTGTGAAGTTCTTCCGGTCAAAAGGTGACCTGGTCAGAATGTCCAGTGCCAGGTTCTTACAATTGCGTGCCCTGCAGCGAAGGTTTGACATGTCCACTGGCATCCACGCTCGCTGCACGGCAGAAAGGGCTCTTGCTGTACAAGGATGAGATGAGATGATTTCTGTTGTTTTGGTTTTTGTTTCTGCCTTCAGTTTGTCATCGGACCTGATCAAGCTTCAGGTAACTTGTAATCCTCTTGAAGGTTCAAAGTCTTTGGAACCGTATTTCAAGCAATGCATTCCGTCAACTTGACGTTCTGTGGCTGGTTTCTGAGGCTGACTTGCAAAGCGGCGAAAGCTATCTCGGCCAGCAGTACACCCCGAAGGTCCAGGAAGGATACTTCACCACAGTGTTGGCGCCCACCGAGGCGCAAGACTGCGAAGAAACCAAGAAACCAGCTACACTCCCTGAAACAATCATGGAAGTGGACCAGTTCGACCCCCCCTGGAAGACCATTTTCCTCTACTAAGGGGGTCCTTGTCAGCTTCCATGCTTGTTGGAGGGGAGGTTACTTGCTTCTCTTTGTAGCTGGCAAGTCGCAGATTCCACACATGGATTTCCAGGTATATCGATGCGGAACTGTTGCGGCCTGCCCTGGTGGCAAGCCTGGCTCATGCAGTGGTGGGCTCACGAACACGCCCTGCGCCCAATGCCGTCCAGGCCCACTGGGAATTCTTACACCTCCCATGTCTAGCGTACAGGATCATTACATATCTCACCTTGGTTCTTAGTCGACGTGTTCGTGTCTTCGGGCTGGTTTTGCGAAGCGTGAGAGACACGAAGGTCACATCTTTTCTCCATCTTCCTCTGTCAGCATCAGCTGTGGTTGCTGAAAGTAATTCTTGGTTAAACTACTGACTGGGTGAAGAATATTTGGCCGTTGCAAATGCGTTGTTTTAGTTTCCTGCCTGCGGCTATTCAAACTACTACAGTATATACACAGAAGGTTGACCACAGTCAGATCATACTTATTCATTCCAGCAGAGGCAAATTAGCAGACTGCACATCCTCTCGTGCGAGTCTTGATTTCTGCAAAAAATCCTAGACACCACTCCCAGGATCCAAGGACCACACTAAACATTCACACAAAGAATCTAGCACATGTGAACCAGAAAGGAGGATGCTAGCTGCCAGCGGTCTTTTGAAAGTTACATTCGAATAGGGCTGAGTGAAAGTCTCGCAGCGCCGCATGCAAGAACAACTTTGAGAACGTCCTCCTATTGAACAAAGATTGACATAATCGTCTCTGAACAGGGTAAAATGATGGAAGATGCTTTGGACAGGATTTTGTTAGCCGAAGGTCGTGCATCAACTTAAAGAAAAGGGCTCCTGGTAAATGACTAGTGATATGTATAGATGAATCAGACAGCTTCAGGTTGCAAAGTTTGACAAAGATGCTTTGCAAGAGGTCGCCAGCTTGTTGACTGATACGGACTGTCCTCAGACTCACCACGAGTCAAAAGGCACTCTTTCAGAGGTATACAAAGTATTTTATATAGGTTCCTTTGCTATTATATAGGTTGGAGGCCATCGCTCTTAAAATCTCTAAAAATGTGAGAACCCCGAGTCACCAGTTTGACTGTCCACCCGGCAACATCTCTGTATATACTTGCTGCACTTTTTGCATGCATCAACATGCATTTAGCTTGGGTACTCATAGGGCTGAGTTGCAGCAATCTGCTTGTCACACGGCAAATACCTTTCCTGGGAATCATATCCAGTGCTCGATGTTGACACAGAAGACTTGGACTCCGCATTGTCACTTGATCCGTTCATCAGATTCCAATCCATGCACGCGGAAGATACAACACACCTGCCTGGGTCTGGGTCTGGGTCTGGGCGCAGCAGCCGCGGACGAGACGGCTTTCACCACCGCAGTGCAATCGACAGGCGCGACCTGGACTGGAAACCAGTGCGAAGCGTGTGAAGGTTGGCGCCAAGTCCTGTGGGCCAGGACCTCAGGTTTTATGCTGAAGACAAGCGGAACTCGGTATTTGCTGGGGTATTTTTCTTGACGAAGCCATGTCATGACTGACTCGAACATTCCTCAAGTGCTTTTGGTGCACCTAGGCACTGCGCGCCCTGATAGGAATACTCTGAACTTTTGCTTGCCTTAATGGGTGGTACACCCTAATGGGTGGTACGGTTTTTCCAACAGTGCTTCCACCCAAGAGTTCGCGGGTTACGCCTTCTTGTCAGCTCAGCCTTTTCGCAAATATACAATGATACCAGACTCAAATAAAAGATGCTGGGCATAGGGTGCGATGGGACATCTACAAGTGGCTTTTGTTCTTCGGGTGGTGGAAGACATGTTTGGCGAACGTAGGCCATTCACGGCCATTTGCAAGGTTTCGTGAGGAAGCTTCAGTTCCAAGAAACGGCAAACGGTCAAATTTGTGACTGCACTCTTGTGCCAACTTCTTGTGCCAGCTTTGTGCACTTTGTGCTTGCTGCGTTGCTGGTCTTGCGTGCTTCGGGCGCTTCTCTGAGGCCATGGCCGTGGTCGGCATCTTTGTCTTCCTGGTTCTTTTGTACTACTTAACCTCAAGCAAGGTTACAGCTAAAGCGACCGTGCTGTTTGCCACCACTGCATCATTTGGAATGCTCGTGATGTCCATGCAAAACTTGGGGCTCATTGGTATGATGACGATTGACTGGCCTGTAGATCTCAAGGGAATCTTCAGCGTTTGCCAATTCCTCCTGCTTGACATTGACAGCTATGGATTCAGCTGCATTGCAGGCTGGAAGGGTCTCAGTTCAGAGATAGAGCTGGTGTTTGCCGCTAGAGGGTCAACTAATGACCATGTATGGATTCTCAAAGAGCAAATAGATATTTTGCCATCGCAAGAGCGACTTCTATGCGATTCAGAATCTTAAAGCTTCGATTGTTCGGATTGACGTCTCTCTCCCAGCGCTAGGCTAAATAGCTTTAAATACTGACTTGTGATGAATTGGGGATTGCTCAGGCTCTGTCGCGCCGATCCGATACCTTCTCAGTGCATTGATCTTTCCTGTTGGCGTGGCTTGGTTGGGGCTTTGCTATTTACTTTCTAAACTCCTGCCGGCAAATCGCCGCTGGAATGGGTCCAAGACAGTCAGTACTTGCGGAGCTTTTCTTCAAGTCGGATTTTCCACCATGTCAGCAACATCGCTTGCTCCAATGATGTGCTACAAGCACCCGAACGGTTTGAGAAGCGTCTTGAAGTATCCAGACATCATTTGCGGATCTGACGAGCACACAGCTATGCTTGTCATTGGTTGGATTCTGCTTATTGTCTTTGTGCTGGGCTTTGTCACCTTGTGCACCTTTGCAGTCTATCAAGAGTCTTGGCTTCAATGGCTTGGCTTCGTCCGCATGACCTTGGCATGTGGTGGATATCGTAATGCTTCAAGTATGTGATGTTGGCAAGTTTGCCCTCAGCTGTTCTATTCGTTTCTATTCCTTCTCCAAGTGACCATTATGGCAACGGCGCGAATAGGTGACCCAACGGTCATCACCCCCCACGAATAAGACACCTTGCCACACATCTATGTTTCTGTGTCTTTCCATCCGCATGTAGACTGGACATTATTGAGCAAAGGTGTTTAACTACATGATCTACAGTGCTCGTTCCGAAGAATAAGCGCCATGTCGCCAGCCTCTCATCCATGTTCAAGCTGTTTTGCTCCCAGGTGCCAACTTGGAGTGCTAACCGCAGAGATCATTTGGTGGCAGGGATTCGCTTCTTGGTGTTCAGATTTCGCCTTGACTCCTGGTGGTTTGGTGTGCCTTTGCTGGTACGAGGGCCTTTGCTCTCTTTGCCGGTGGTTTTGGCCACTGACTATCCACCAATCCAAGTTATCGCCATTGCTATGGTCATGGCTGGCTTGCTGGTGTCTTGGAAGCACAGGAAGGCAGGACAAAATGAGACAATTTGAAGGTTGGATGTGGACTAGAACCCTTCTAGAAAGGCTACAATTGGGACAAAGGTCGAAAAACTTTTGCTGCACGGAGGTGCGCTAAACGTGCAAAGCTTTTCTGCCTTGGAATCCTGCAGACAGGTTCAAAAATGTACAAGCTTGTGTTTTCCTGCACTCTGTGTATGTTTCGCGCTTTGCCAGGGTGTTCGACCCTGTGCGATGCTTTCTGGTGACATCGATGGGACAACGGCACGAACGTGTGCACCACTGCAACAAGGGATTTCAACGAGCCCACTGGGTTGAAGCAATGCCCGTCTATCTCCTTCTAATGTAGGAACCCACATTCTCACTTACTGGGGGAGACCCCTTTAGTTCGACTCGTCCGACTCCAGCAGTTGAGGGAACCATTCAAACTACAAACTCATCATTTGTTTTTCTGAGGTTCTGCAGATGCTCTTCTGGCCGTGGAAGGCGCTGCTACTGCTCTGAAACATTTCCAGACGTGTCAGGAACGCGTTTCTTCCGGCTCAAAAACACATAGGAAAGAGCTTTGTGGTTACTGTCTGGTGTTCACTGATGATGGCAGTGAGATGTTGTTTCCTACTGGTTGTTTGCCATTTCTGGCTTGAGTCTACTACATATTGTATCAGATGGTCAATTCTTGGTAATTCTCCATGGTCCGTCCTTGATTCATTCTTCGGTGGCAATTCATGACATAGTATCCTATGAGAAACAAGGACTCGCCCCTAGAATGGAGCTTCACGGCCCAGCAGGAGTATCAGAGGGAATCTCAACAACCTGCTTTCATGGGGAGACAAACATTCAGCACTTGTGCATTATTGCAGGTGCCCATGCTGAACTTGACGGACTGCACTGTCTCCTTCTGTATCACTTTGCTGGTCACCACGTCGAGCTTGCACCTCGAGATTGTTGCAGCTTGGTGCGAACGGGCACAAACACGATGACGATGAGTCAGGCAGTCGTTTTCTTCGATAGTTGATGAACGGGTGGCCGATGGCCTTCTCGGGTGACTTCGACTTCGGGTGCTCCAGACTTGAGACTTCGCATCTGAACATGTCAACGCTGGGATTTTGGAACTGCCTGCAGTTGTGCTGCCAGGGCGTGGTATTTTTTGGGGGCCGTGCCAGGTGAAGACTTAGACACAGCACTGCTAGCAGCTGTGGTTCGTGTATTCATTTCGGGCGGCTCACAGCACTGAAGTCCTTTGGGGCCCTTGTTTCGGGCGGCCTTTGATACAAAACCTAATTGTATGTCCCGTGGCGTCAAGTGTGTGCTAGTTGGTCCTAGGGCTTAGGGTTTTCTGTTGGGTCAAACATGGAAAGGGGTGAGAATGAGATGACCTAAAGAGACGATGACCTCATGCTTTCCAGGGTTTATGCATTTCTTTTTTTGTGGAGATCTACTGTTTGAGGCTGTCATGCCATGCGAATGTGCACCGGTCTCATATCACATGAAGGACAGTGTTCTATTGTGTTTCTCAAAGAGCCAAGAGAACAGACATTACAAGTAGTGTTCCGGTCATATTTTGTGCTGACTTCAAACTTAGGAAGGGCCTATGATGCAATTTGCCGAGGGTGTCTCAACCGCAATGTTGACTCTTGCCTGCAGTATGTAAGGGCACGTTTTAGTAAGCACACCTCAACTTGGAAGCGGACATATCATACTGCAAACCAGGTTAGGAGATGCCTGATCAATCGCTTGTCATGAAACCTTTTGAAAAGCTTTCGAAGAATCTCGAACAAAAGGAGTGGCATTGGCATTGCACTTGCCATCATGGTCTTGATGACGGGAAGTGCTTTGATCTATCGCTCAGCACTGGGAGGGAAGAAGGACCCTGAACTGCGTAGCCGTCATAGCTATGGCCTCCAACCTACTAGCCTACCAGACATGAATTAGGGATGGGTCATGGCACGGAACGAGCCCGACACGTCCATCATGTAGCAGACCTTGACCGCAAATTGAGGTCATGCCCGGTCGGTCCGGTGCCATGACCCACAGCCAAATGAGTTTCGATGATGCTTTTTGACCTTACTACTAGTCACAAAGGGCATCGCTACTAGGAGCGAAGGGCATCGCTACTAGCAGCGATCGGACGCTACGAACGGGGCGCTCCTGGCCTTACTACCAGTAACATCTCAAAATGCCCGAATTTTCAGCCTTTTTTTCGGGAGCTCTCGGGGCCGCGAGGGGTCACCCCTCCACGGGTGCAGGAGCTTCGTATGTTCAACCTGGGGTCGGTTCCCACCTCTGCCAAGCTGGCCAAACGGATGAAGGCAGGGGCTGTGCTTCATAGACTGGTCTGTTTGATGTGAAAACTGAAAACACACAGCAAAGTCTTCAAGAAGCCAAGAAGGAACAAAATACAGTTCATAAACTGGCCCGGGTTCAGAAACAAGAACCACGGGGTTCAGAAGCTATGGTTCCGAAACTCGGGTTGAGAAACTTCTTGGGTTCAGAAACTGGTTTGGTTGGGTTCAGACACGTTCGTTTCCAGGTTCAGACACTATTCTTTGGTGCGGGGGTGGGGTGGGGTGGTGGGGACGTATTGATTTGACATCCATTGGGGGCAACTGTTTAGACATTGTATGAGACTCGCACGTTGCTAATTCGTAACCGACGGTGCGAGTCTCCGAAACGTAAAAACGTGTCCGGTTTCCGAACCTAACCCGAACCCGCCGTATTGGTTTCCAAACTTAAGGCTGACCCTTCAAGAGGAATTGAGATCGCCGAACTAAGAAGAAATCATGAAGTCTTTGTGCTTCTTGTTTTCACTTGAATGCTATATAAATTATATAAATACTTTTTCGTGGGCGCAAGATTGGGCCCCCCAAGCGGCTACTTTGGCACAAGAATCTTTAGGATGTTGTTTTCTTCGCAGAAGTTGGCATCTTTGTCTTTCCGCTGTCAAACAATTGAATCTCAGTGCGTGTTGATCCTTGTGGCATTGGTCAAATAACCTGTTGATCCCTTGTTGATCCTTGTGGTTTTCGACACAAAAGACCTGTTCCTTCGAGCTGAGCTCAGCCTGGTCTGCTGCTCGCAGCGGGCGCGCTACCGGTCCTGGCCCTCCGAGTGGAGCTGAGCTCGCCCGGTCGCAGGAGATGTCTCTGGAGTTGGAGCGCATGGAGACACAGGACGTTTCACATTCGAGTCTTTTTTTAATCGGAAGGGAGGGCAAAGCAGCAAAGGGAGAAACACCCTCAAAAGTGGGTCAGTTGGATGTGAAGAGGATTGTCCAATGCAGAGCAGTGCTTTCCATGTGTGTGTGAGATGGCAGATGTGCATTCAGAATGCAATCATCAACTTTCTAACTCCTTTGGGTCCTGAAGATCGGGAAACTACAAACCACTTATTTGAACACGGAAAATACCCAGGGGTCGCGTGACCGGACACACTGGGGCTTCCGGCTTCCGGCAAGGCAGCTCGTTGCTCAGCTTTTCCCAACAGAAGTCATGTAGTGCGAAAGGCGGTTTTTGGGTCGCATCGATTTGGCGCTACAGTTCCCTTCAAATCACGTTTCGATGAAGGGAACCAATCCAGAGGCACACCATTTAGCCACAAACATCGCACGACGGGGGTTGACCCAGGCGGGTCTCTGCCCGGACCCAACTTTGGGGTTCTGGCACGGCTGAGAATTGATGCAGTATCCTTTCTACCATCCAATGGGTGTCCAACGGGGACCTATAAGTAGTGTAGGGTAGTCCAGCCGTTGGACACCCAGACAGGATGATGCAGCTAGGTTCTGATTCGGCCGATGCTTCGCCAGGTCGAATTTGGGCCGATGCTTCGCCCGTCGCCGATGGCCCAGTTCGGTGAGGCTTGCAGCTTTGGCCATCTTCGACATGAACAAAGTGACCACGGCCATTACCCTTTTGGCTACCGAGGTGATGCGTTTCATTTGACAGTTTCAGAATTGCTGAGAGGTAGAGTGGCTGGACCTACTTGGATTTGGTTCTCGTTTCTAAGGGAGGACGTTCTATTGTTGTGTCAGTCATTGTTACATTTGTTGTTCTACAGTACCTGTTGCTTCTGTTGCTTCTGCTGCTCCTGTGGCTTTCGTTTTTCTCCTTTTTCGGCTTGTTGGCTTTGGTCTCTCTCTCTCTCTCTGGTCCCTGGTCTTTTGGAGCCTCGATCCACTGGTCCCTGGTTTCCTTGGTCCCCCGGTCTCCTTAAGAATCCTCTCCCTTAAGCACCTGGTGGGCCCATCAAAAAGGCATCGTTTGTTGCTTGCACAGCCTGGCGAGCACAAGATGCCATGCATTTTCTAGTGCTGTTTGCGTCGCCTTGCGTCGCCTTGCTGCATACCTGGCTGTGCAGCGCTGGTTTCTGTGGCTTTTGACTTTGATGGCTGCAGCTTTTGGCTTTTGGTGGCTTGTGGGGCTTTCGGCTGGCGTTTGGTTACCGGCTGGTTTGCTTTTTTGATGGCTTGCTTTTGGTTCTGGTGGATTTGTTGGAAATTGATGGCTGCGCTAGGTTTTGACAACTTCTTTTTTGTTGACATTTGGAAGCTTTTTGGTGGCTTGACACTTGGTTTGCTCTTGGGGGAGGCGCTGTGCCCTCGCCCCAGCCCCTTCAGCTTCTTCAAGTCAAGCCAAGTCAACCAAAGCAAACAATCACAGCTAAACCACAGCGGAACTAAAGCCAAGCACGGGGCCCCTGAACTACGCACCGGGTGACTACACTGTTGGGAACCACCATAAGGAGCAACCTAGCAAAGCCAAAAGATACACACATTCCAAAGAAGGAGCAAACAATGAAAAGCTAACATTGCAGCCGTTTCTGAGCCGTTGGAACTAAGTCAAAAGGACCTGTTGCAGCCGTTTCTTTCGAGAAGTCATGCTGAGAAATGACAGAATCAATCAATCACATGAGCCACCCCCCAAAACCTAGCGTTACGTTTTTGTGTGGAATGGTCCATTTGGAGAGATATTTTGCATATTCCTGGAAAAACAAAGCCGGAAGCCCAAAACGAAGCCTCACTAGAAGTGAACAAAATTTGGCACGTTCATTTGGAAGGTCACTCACATCAAATTCCATCTGTTGGGACACGACCAGCCGTTGGGACACGAACATCAACAGATCCTGAACGGACAAACGGAGGGCATCCTGTGATCATCCTGTCCTAGTTTGTGAGTTTCTTTTTATTTAAGAGATGGCTATGGTTGCTGAGTATCCTCTTCATCGATTGCTTGTGCTCGCCGGTATGTCGCTTGCTTGTATGTCACAGGAAAAGGCCCGGCAGCCAGGAAAGGCTAGCTGATGCTCTCAGCAGGTCAGTGAGCAGATTCTGCTCTGCTGGTGCCAGTAGAGGCTCTATGCCTTCGTGCGTGCGCAAGCTGAGGGCGCGGTATCGGCAGTTGGGTCTCCTCATATCAAGAATCATTTCTCCTAGGCCCTAGGCATCCAACCATGATTTGAATAGGCTTTACCAAACAACCATTTATATAATTACTAAGGACTTTATAGTACAGAACCAGGTCACTTCAGGTCAATCATTCTTTTGATGGTCGAACTGAAGGCTAGGGATTTGATTTCTTATAACGTGGGTTTACAAAAAGAACAATGGAACTAGCGGCCGGGCAGACGCATCTTTTTTCCGACAGGTGGCCCCACCTGCAGAGGATGCTGTGACTTACAAGTTCAATCCGTGGCTTGTTCCAGAGTTGCGAGCCACGAGGTTGAGATACCAAACATGGTACCTAAACGAAGGGATGAGATAGGCAAACGGGCTTCGGCCACCTGTGTTGGCCATCGAAGGCACTTCCCTAAGCCGAAAGAACTGCAAACTGCGCGATTGCAGAATTGCCAAGAGCTGGAAATTGGGACCTGATGGAACTTGTGACCTTGCAGGGCCATTGACAGTTACAGTCATCTGCAATTAAGAACTTCTGAGTGTAGGTAGCAGATCTTGTGCATATTTCCACCGAAATCTACGTAGCACTTCTGTTGGACATCTCGGGCTTTGAAGTCAGAGAAGCGCAGATTTTGCAATTCTTTCAGCATGGGCGACACTGTAGACCTTTCTGTGTCATGTTGCGTACGAATGTGGGGAAGCACCTGAAAAGACCTTTCGGTGTCCACATTTCCTTTTGGGCTTTCAGGTTTCGCTTCGCAGAACACGACCCAGGCGCATCAACTCGTCATCCTTCGACCCGGCGCTCACCAAGAGCAAGAAATCCTTGCGTTCAAGCCGGTCATCCGACGTGCAGGCGGGTCATGTTAGCAACTTAGAGGATTGGACAGAGCAACATTGAGAATGACCACTTGTGAATGACCCCGCTGCTGTGACAACTTGGGGTTTTGATGGGTTTGTGGATTGCTTTGTGGCCGGCGTAGGCCAATCCAGTGGAGGAACTCGACAACCAGCCAAAGACCGATGTTCCTTTGGAGGTCCAAGAGGACAACACCAACAGATCGCCCGGGACGCCCGGTGAGGACGATCCAGTTTGAGGAACTCATGTCACTCACGTGATCTTAAGTTTCCCTAAAAGTCTAGGAACCAAATCATTAGTGCAAGCGCTTCTTCAAGGGGGTGGCGGGGGAGCTTCCTTGAAGAAGCGCGAGCTATCCTGCGTCCTGTCGGTAGTAGCTATTTAAACTACTAGCTAGCTACTACGGCCTACCTCCCAAAAGAAAATGAAAAGACACATACAGAACTTTGAGTTTCCAGGTGACCTTCATCTCTTCCAGGCGATCACGACTGGCCTCCAGCTGCGTCCACCCGACTCGACGAAAGGATCCCGTGGCATCGACGAAGGGGATGAAGGGATCCGCACTGATGGCCTTCGCACCGTCTTGGTTGGTGGACTATCGGTGATATATATATATATATATGTAATAATACACACAGATGTTCTCCTATATCATCAAGGCCCTCTATTCCAAGGGTGCTACTCTATTCTATGCGTTATGACCCTTGTCCATTGTCCATGGTTGATCAATAGAGGGAAGACCGGGAGAGGCAATGCAGAGGAGGTGCCTTGTCAACCAACAAAAATCGGCAAAGCGAATGGATCAAAACAAAAACACGCAAAAAAGGCGCCCAGAAAATCCCCTGTCTCATGTGGAAAGGGTGAACTAACAGTGCTCCCGGACCGACAGGTTTCGGCCTTCCCAACGGGTGGGAAACACTCGTTTCGCAGCGAGCGCGGCTGCGCCTGCCACGACTTCGCTGAAAAGCCACGCCTCCGGACGCGTGAAATGGGCTTCTTTCGCCAGGACGCTTCCGGACGGCAGGACATTCCGTCATCCTGGATCCTGATTGTGTCTTTGAAATGTCCTGCCTGCATCCTCATCCTTGCTTGCATTTGATGGCGGTGATGGTCCTATTGAAGGTGAAACGCTTGGTCCTGTTGTGGAAGTCGAGAAAGCCCCTTTCGATGAGGAACTCCTCGCTGTCGATGTGCTGTCAGTGGGTGTTCCAAACGAATCAATCCAGGCTGTGCGGATCCGTTTGGTGCCTAACTCTCTTGTAGCTTATGGCATCTCTCACTTGGACCATTTGGGCAGTGCGATCCTTGAGCCCAAAGCAGCTTTACAGGCAGCGAATTAGTGGCATTTTGATTCTCCAAAGTGCCAGCTTTGTCGCAATCCACCCTAATTTCGCAGAAATTGAAATTGAGTGGCCCTAGTCAAGACTCTTTCCACAAAATCTTCAGGTTTTCGGAATTCGGACCAGTTTCTTTGTCACTACTAGTGCGCCGTGCGCGTTTTCGGATGTTACTTTCGTTCTTCAAACCGACCTGGCCACGACCTGGTTGGTGGCTTTCCAAGATGGCTTTCAACTTTCAAGCAATTTTTGGCATCCAGCAGTCACAGATAGGGTGCTAGTGCTGACCATGGAGGTTAGGGGTGCCCCTGTCACGTCCACTCACTGGATGGGACGAACAACACCACCCCGTCGACTCCTGTTTGAAAGCAACTAACATGACCGTCGTGGCGTGAACTTTTTTTCACACCCTCATCGCTGCCGGTCGCTGCCGGTCTTCATCCACCCAGGTCGCGCGGCCAAGAGGTGCTCCAGTCCTCCTGGCTCTGAGCGCAACGCAGCGAGTTCAAGCTGCCGGTGGAGTTGGTTGCCCGAAGCCGTTGGTCGTTTTTCAGCTTGTTCTGGGTTTGTTTCTTGGAACAAGCTGCTTTTTTGGTTTAAGGTTTGGACAACTGGTCATTTTTGGGGTTTTGTTCGTTTTGCGAGAATGCGTGGGCAAAAGATGTTTCAGTTGCCAAGACTCTGCAGAAGATTGCAGATACGAACGCGCCACAGGGTGTGAACCTCCACAGTTTCTTCCTGCCAGATTGTACTCTGACTCGTCCCGTTGTAGATGGTCAGGGCCCCTGAAGAAGCCTCACAGATTCGCACTGCTTGGCTTTTGATCACTCCTGAGATAGCTTCACATGGCCTTGGTGTCTAAGCATTCTGTAAGCCCTGGTCATTTGGATACGTCCTAAGCTGTGAGGGGTCTTGATTCAGTGGCATTAGATGGTATTAGTATGTCCTTGTTTCTGATGGGCTCTGCTCAGGACCAAGCCTCATTTTTCTTCGCAAATCAATTCCCAAATTGCTTGTTTGCGCTCACCGGGCGACTATCCACTGAACTGGAGCCACTTCGATTTGGAACAAAGTTCCCGCAAGTTCGTTAATGCTTGTGGTGTCAGAACCTCTGAGTCGCATCCAGGTTAGCTGTGAGTCGACAGTTTGATGTATTTCTCAACACCACTGCAACAGTCTTGCTCAGAGAGTCAGCTTGGGCTGTGCTTGGCACCAAACTTTCAAAACATTTTCCATTTGGCGTGTCAAGAGGGCTGCAGAAGCTCATTGGCAGACAGCGCGTAGCAGAATATCGCACCCGGGAACGCCGTTGGAAGACTTTGATATGTGCATATTTATATAAATACACATACATGTTTCTTCCTAGTAGCAAGAAGCTGCTAGGTTGGAGGCCATCGCTATTAGTAGCTAATATATAAACAAACAATACACATATATATATATGTTTCGACTGTGAAGGTACGTACAGTACTTCAGTTTTTGGACGCTTGCCAAAGTTGGCTCTGGCCATCATGACTCCAGCATGCACCAGCCATGACTCCTTTTACCGTTTACAGTAGAACGGCGGTCGGGGACACACAGAGAGCATGGCTGTTTGTGCAGCAAACATTGGTAGAAGAACAAACCAAACCCTATTAATTGCTGGGTCCGGCATGAATTTTGAGCCCATCCATTCGGATGAACTGCGCTTCTGCCATATTGGTGCTTCAATTTTTCAATCGCAGCGGACTCTTTGCTTGTGAGGCGCCTTTGCGACGGACGGTGTGAGACTCGTGTGGTGCGGAAAGTGGATGGCAAAACCCGGGCAGACGTCCGGCGCAGAGTCGACGCTGTCGATGCAGAATCCAGAATCATCTTCCAAACCATGGCAGTTCCTTTGCTTGCGGCACCCTTCAACTTGGGATACGGAGCAGATAGCAATCCTGTTATCAGAGAAGGCAACAAGGTTGAATAATATCGGAGTTTTTGGTAGTGGGTTTCAATCCTAGCCTAAAAGTGCACTATGGCCATGACCACATTTTTTTCATTTTGGACCCAGAAGAACATGCCATTTTGCAATCTCTGTGATTTGATTGTGAATATTCTTTCCTGATACTGGTTTGCACAAGCTCTTTCTCACACGGCCCAACTTGGACTAAGTATTAGTAGCGACGGCCTCCAACCTAAGTTGTTCCTATATACAGCTGTTGCTCCTCCGAGATGTCCGATCTGAGCTGAAAGAATCGCCCTTTCGCCCCGTCGCCACCGGACGAGGTCTCCGCTGTGTGTTGACACCCCTTTTCAATGCAAAAGCTGGACATGTTATGTTCAATTCCTTCTTGGGGGGTTTGGTTGGCATCTAGATGAACCTGAGTGACCCCTTTTTGTTGGAGTACCGACCATCCAACATATTGCGTTTGTTTTTCTTTTGTCTACAGGCAAAAAAACAGTATTAATGTTGTGTCATGGAGTGTCATATAATGTAATGGTGTGCATTACATAAATACATACATATATACATATATATATAAATAACAGAACATATCCATTTGTATGGCATACGTTCAGAATTCTTGCTTCGGACACGTCAAGGCACATGCATCTATAATGCACAAACATGCAGCATGTACTTTATGTTTTTGTTGGACATACAATACTGTAGAGCGTCTTGACTTGAAGGCATACATGAATGGGAAGAAAAGAAACAACAAACACATCGGAAAAAAGAGTGCGCCCTGAGCTGTTTTTGCCGACATTTCAAGACAGCTTGAAGAACAGGCCATGTGGAGGTCTTCGTGGCTCACCCGATACCAAACGGCACAGCTCTCGTGGTCGCGCGACCAGCGACCAGCGACGTGGCACCACATGTTTCACACAGTTCGACTTGTTGCGGGAGGTGCTTTTGACCCGCAGCGGGCACAGGCCCTGTGTTTGTTGAAGATGGTGCGATGTTGCAGCACGGAACAAGGGGGCAACATAATATGGGTGTCAGTCAACACCTAAGCACTCAAAATATAATTGTGTATGTTCACATGCACATCGTGCCATTGATTGTTTTGTTCTGATTTGTTTTGCTCTGTTTTGACACTACGAAACATCTGTCTATGCCCACACACCACCCAAACTGGATAGCTACAAGCACAGCTACCAGGCATGGGGGGGCACAGCTACCAGGGCTTCTTTCTGCTCACACGCAGAAAGAACACACGTTTTTACTATTTGACTCCGACACCTTGCAACTATCGGGTTCGACTGTTTGGCCGAACTCAGGGTGGAATTTGAGGAGGGACCCTTCTCACTCAACAATAACGCTGTTTTTTTACTGAAGGGTCTCGGTGATGTTATTCCTCTCGCGCCATCTTCCAAAAGAGCCTGTTTTTCCCGGCCCACCGCATGGCCGTTCAAATCGGCTGTGTTTTCTTCTTCGGCTCACCAAGGAACGTTTTAATACGATCGGTATTTCCGTAGTGCTGCTCTCGGCGAGGCACATCAAACAGCACGCATCGGAACGACACAGAGCCAGTGTTTGAAGAGAAAGAAGGGACAAAACGGCCTGTCCTTCTCAGTGTGGCCTGCATTTTTCAGTGGGACACTGCGGAGGTTAGGCTTTGTCTGGTAGCAGGGACCAGTAGATCAGATGATGGTGGCCAATTTCTGTAGGTCCTTGTGAGGGGTGGGATGGTCGAAGCCCCTTTGCGAGCCAGCGAGTACACTGGGCCAGGCTTGGTGTGTCTTTCGAGGATCCCCTGGCCCTTCCAGCTCTTCCGGGTCTCCCTCTTTGAATACACACCCCCAATTTGGGGGGTCTCTAGCCGAAGCTTCTTGCATGGCAGCTGTTTCGACCAGCACCAGGGGTTCAGTAGTCCCGGTGAAGACTTCGATGGCGGTGAGAAGGACGGGGATGAAACAAGATCTGAGTTTCACAACTGACTGAGATAGTTGTTTCAGATTCATTGGTTGGCTGATTTGGGCTTATTTATATCGTACATTTGTTGTCAAATTGGGTTCCTCGGTCTCGGGACTGTCTATTGCTTTGGTTGGCCTTGCGTCCTTCATGGTTTTGAACTCACTTGCGCGCCCCAGTCCGTCGACCACTCGACGAGCGACGACGTGGTGCCAGCATCGCTCGTCGAGTGGCCGCCGGACTGGGACCGGTTTTTCTGACGGTTGCTGCAATTGAGCGCCTGCTCGTTCGTTGGGTTTGGTCAATACTCTCTTCTGATTCCTATCGTGTGTGGCTGCTTGATGTGCTTGCTTGATCGCCTTTTGATTGAGTGTTGTTTCCGTTTCCGATTCTGAATTGCTGGGATTGCTGGGCTTGTCAACTACCATGCATGCTAGCTAGTTGCTTCCTTGCATAATATAGTTGCTCAGCTCAACCGACTGGCGAAACCAACCAGCCAAGACAGCGAGGTACCCATGCAAGCATGGTCAATGGTGATCCAGTCCCTCACGGGTTCTGCTTCGAATTCTCACGGGTCTCTTAGGGGTCTCTGCAGTCGAACGAAATCCTTCGACCTTCCTGAAAACGCCGAAGATCAGGACTCAGCGCGGCGGAGGCCGGGCAAGGGGGTTGGCGGCGAATCGAATGACCCAGGGGTGTGGTGCCGTGACCAAGTGAGACGATAAAGTGAGTCTTTCTTTCCTCTTCAGACTCTTTTTCTCTCAATGAACGGGCTGCGGCTGCGAAGGGTCAAGCTGAAGTTTTGTTGGTTGCGCGGGGGCTGTGTGGTTTATGTGAGGGGTTTCCCCATTTTAACGCCAAACCAAGGGACTTTTTGCTGCACCCCGAGGCAGTTTTGGCTCGCAGACTAAACTGCCCCCCCAGAGAGGACACGACAAATCCTTCGAGATCTTCAAGATATGCATCGGTTCATCAATGCATTGGCTTGGGCAGCATGAAGTCAGAAACTGATTTGGTTGTGGGTCAAAACAAGACCTACTTAGAAGGTCGTAAGCTGCATAGTGGACCCGGGCTCCAGGTTTGACCCAAACGCAGGTCGAAGGGCCAACCTCTCAACCGACTCACCTCCCCAGCAGCCAACCTCTCGGTGCAGGGCTTCTGGTGGCCGCAGTGTTGGGCACGTTCGCAGTGCCAGGCGGGGGATTCACTCGACTCGTCAGGCTTCCCTGACGAGTCGAACCGTGTTGGCGTCGTGTCGAACGAAGCATTGAGAGGTGAAGTCTCCCACAGAGTGTGTGGATGAAGCTCCAATTCCTGTATTCTCTTGGAGTGCAACACACTTGCAAACAAACTGGATGTGTCCTCTGTGAGTATCCAACAGGGACCACTCGACTGAAAACTGCCACACCGCTCTGAATCAATCTGGTGTAAACATGTGTAAACTAGGGAGACCTCCCAGGCATGGAAACGACCCCCTGGAAGCAGGAGACTATGCCAGTGAACCCCGGCGCGCGATTTCAGGGGTCTCCTTGAGCCACGAAACGCATGGTCGCTCCAAAACGCCACGCGAAACGCTGCGCGAAACGCCACGCGTTTCCATTTCGGCAGGAAGCCTCACTTACCAAGCACCACTGGGCGGAGGCCTCACCAGGACGTCGGTGCGGGGTGTGTGTGTGTGTTTTTTGGGTCATGGGAGGTGGAGGTCTGAAAATGCCACACGCCTTAGTGATTATAGGTACACTAGGTGGGGAGGCCAGGTTTGCAAGATGATTCAAGCATTCTGGCAGGCTTGCTTGGATTCAGTTGCTCAATGGTATCTAATGAATCTCATGGTCCATGGTCCCGTTTACATCCTTTTTCCACGGAGGAGACGGCTCGCTTCACACCAAGAGTCGAGTTCCCGGCCACGCTGGCAGATTCGGTCGATTTGGAAGCCGCACAAACGGCCGTGCACCAACGGTTTCTTCGTAAGCTGAAGACACACTATTAGAGGAACAAAGCCCCCGGGAAATTGGCCTAGCTAAGCCCATTACGGCTTGCCCTGCGAGACTACTGAACCGGACATTTTTGCGGGTGTGCAAAGGGTCGTGGGGGTGGGCGGAAGCCTGCATGCTGGCTATCACCATGCTCTCCTTGTGTACTCACCAGGGAGGGTCGATTCTGTATGGATGACCCAGATCGGTTAGTTGGTTGTACTGCCAGGGGGAGTGTCCTTTGTCAGTGTTGTGGCCCCATGGTTTGCTC